AGGGCACTTTCGTTGGCCGTGTTCATATCCTGCAACTGTGCCAGGCACAATTTGGGTTAGCTCATGACACAATTGCAGGACACCGGCTCTGTGCCAGGCACTGAGTAGGAGGCACAGGGACAGGCAAGATGAGGAAGATGCAGTTCTTCTTCTGGAGGGCTCACCCCAGCAGGGACACAGGCATGCCAATAGAGCTCTTGATGGGAAAGCCCACAAACACGTAGAGAACATTCACCTACAGTGGTCAATGCAAATATAAAAGCAAAGGGATGAAGAGGAAAGACACTTAGGGGGTAAAATCTCCTGTTCTTGTGGTTGATGTGGATGAGGATAGGATAGTGGGCAGGAATAAGAAAGAACACAGGGTCCTTTTCCTACTTTTTCCCCATTCTTGTTCGCTTGCTCTCTGGTTTCAGTTTTCACATCTGTTTGATGCCGCTGGGAATCTGCCCAGATGTCCCTGTATGTCCTGTTTCTGTGACTGGAATACGCCACGTATCGATCGCTCCTTAGTGTTGCTCCATTTATACAGCACCTACTGCGTGTCAGGCAGTGAGGATCACTTTCTGGACCTTTTAGCACAGTCTTCACAATCACCCTGTTGTAAAGGCATTATTGCTCCCATTTGAAATGCGAAGACGCTGAGAATCTCGGGGAGTGTGTATGTACTGGCTGTGCAAAGAGATTGAGAGACCTTTGTAATTGCCCCTGGGCAATCCCACCCAGCACCCACCTTTTTTTTTTTTTTTTTTTTCCCTCGGAATTAGCTCAAACTGATGTGCCTGAGTTTTCCGTCTGTTTGACCTTGGGTTCCAGGGCACCACTGCTCCCCTCCCCCACTTCCTCAGCCAGAGTCAATATTAGGTTTCAATGTTTTGTTTTCAAGCCTGTGGAGGTGACTAGGCCCAGCACCTGCAGAAGGTGGGTGGCTGGACACCACGAGGAAGGCTTAGACTCACCGACACTGATCAGAAAAGTAAGACTGCCTGGAAGTAACACAAACGTCTTCCAGCCCACCTCTCGCATTTGTGAAAGTCCCCTGAAGTAAGCCTTAGATTCGGGAAGAGTATTCTAAGGTCTCATATGAAGCCAGAGGCCAAGTGCAGGGCACGCGTCCGCAGCATAGGGTCTTTCGTCTTCCACTGGGTCCGCGCGGCCCAGGACCCAACCTACAACCTGTGACAGAGTGCCATGCCTTCCCTCCGCCCCGCACCATCCCCTACCACCACCCCATTAAGGCAACAATTAGGGAACGGGGTGAGGCTCCCTCTCCATCTGGGTAATTATGTTCTCATTAGGAGCGGATGCGCCTGGGCTCTGAGCATTAGCGCTCCAGCGCAGCTTGGAAGGCGCGCTCCCAGCTCGGCTACTGGTGGAAGCAGCGGCTGGGGAGCAAGCGAGCTGGGGGGCCAGGCGCGGGGCCCAGCGCATCCCGACGCTGCTACGAAGACAGCAGAGACCACAGCGATCACCCTTGGCTCCTCGCCTGCGCGGCTCCCCGGCGCTTAGCACGGTGGGGAGAACCCGGCGGAGTAGCCAGGTCTGGGCTCGTTGGGTCCTAGAAGCCTCCCTGAGTTCCTCTCACCGTATCTTTAAGCCTGGCTGGGTGCCGGAAACGCTGCACAGAGTAAGACATAGCCTCTGCCCCTGGGAGAACTGGTGGGGTGAGGGGAGGGAGGAGGCAGGCTGGTAATAGAGGCCACACTCCGAACAGGGAGGCTGGAGAAGAAAGGCATGGAAGGCTTATGGGAGGAGGTGACCAAGATGACCTGGGCTGGGGAGGAGCCTTTGGAACCAGGGTAAGGCTGAATGAGGAAGTGGCTTTGGAACCCCTACAGGCGCTGATCTGGAGGATTTTATTTTAGATGAAAGCAAGAGGTGGGACCCAGATCCGCAAGGGCCCAAAGGATTCTAAGAATGAAAGGATGCCACTGTGAGGTGTGGGTTTCAGAATCGGTCCCCTCCCTAACCTCTGGCTGGAGGCAGGAAGGGAGTCTCTACCTAGTGCGCCTCCTTTTCCATCCCCCTAAGGCCTTGAACCTCCAGGTCCCTGGGGAGAGCTATCCACAGCCCCAGTCAGGCCACTGGGAGGCTCAGGCCTGATGGTAAGGGCAGTTTGGGAGACATGGAGCCCTGCATCTTCCCAAAGCCCTCTGGGGCAGCTCGACACATTAGCACCTAAGTGCTGTGTGGGCTGTCTCTGCCCCGCGGAACCCACACAGAGTAAAAGACAAGACCAGCTCCAGATGTCTCCCTTCCCAACCAGCATGAAACAAGGCCTGGTTGGAAGATGCAAAAGGGGTGTTGAACCTCAGGGAAGCAATGCTTGTGCTGCGTGGACAGAACATCTTCTCAGAGGAGGCAGCCTTTCAGCTGGGCTTCTTGGGTCCTCAGCAGGATAGGATTTTGCAAAGTGGAGGAGAGGAGGGGTGCTTGAACTTGACTCAGAACAACAGGTGTGGAGGCATAAAGACAACAATGGCAGATGAAGTCATCCGATGGCAAGGGAAGGAGTCAGCAGGTGGAGAAAGAAGAGGGAGTCTAGAGCTCAATTAAGAAAGGTCTCCACTACCAAGTCGGGACATTGTGGGAGGCAGGAATCCTTTCTCAGGAAGGAGGTCTGCTGAGCTACAGCAGAATCAGAGGAAAATCAACCCCTCTCCTTCCAACTTGGGGATAATTTGCTCCCACTGTACTCACCTTCCAGGATCCGGAGCTGGGGATCAGGAGTGAAATCCAGTTCCGGGATGCACACGTTTCCCCTGGCTTGCACTCTAGCCAGAGGCCTAGCACTCAGGAACCTCCTCTCCGCAGCCGCTAAGCACAGGCTGCAGCCAGGACTCACCCAGGCAAAATAATCTGCAGACTCCTGGTCTGGGAGTAGAGGAGGACTAGATCCACAGAGCAGGAGGAACTCTGGGAGATGTTTAGATTTCTCCCTGTCTTGATATGGATGGGCAGATTTAGGGCCTGAGAGTGGACTTGCCAAAGTCACTCCACTGGCACAGAGCCTGGTGGTCCCACAGAACAAGAAGCCATGGAGACCAGAACTCTGGTGGTTCTCGCCCTAAGGAAGAGAGGTGACCCACCCACCTACAGCCCAGCGAGCACCAAAGCGTTCAGGGGCACTTCCTTGAGCAGTGCCTCTCCAATCTGCAGGAACCCAGAGCCTCGCGCCTACAGGCACCCTACTGACTGTAGGGTCTCCACGAGCCAGGGGCTGACTGCACCTGCGGAGCTGCTGGTTCGAGCTAGTTTTGTTGCCAAAGGCTCCAACTGTCTCCGACCTTTCCCTCCCAACCAGGAAAGTGTGGAGAAAGCACGTCTCTTCATTAAAAGCAGTTTTTCTTTTAAATCCCTTTAAGGCCCCCTTTTCTTTCTCATTCCCACTTCCCTGGGGCCTGACAGGGTAGAAGGGAAACTATTGGGCCGAAACAGAAAAGTACTTGGGTCCACTCCTCACCGGTGAAGTCCCTACCAGAGATAGGAGGGGACCCGGAGCTACTGGGCTGCGAGGGCACCCGCTAGAGCTGCTTCGAGGCTCTCTCGATTGCACGCGGAGAAGAACAAGCCCGGGTTTCAACAGAGGCCCTGTGCTCTGTGAATTTCTAACTCGAAGGAGCCACTGGAATAAATCCACCCGAGAAACGTTGCTTATCTTTCTATTGTTAACTCTTCCTTCTCCCCACACCCCTAGAGAAAATTAAATTCATTCCTAAATATTGGGTCAGGAAAAAGTTTCTCTCAAAGGAACCACAACTGCAGGGACCCACCTGGCTGCAGCTTCCAGCTCCCAGCTCCCGGCCCTTCGCTCTAGGCTGCTCCCGCTCCCGACCTCCCCGCTGCCTAAGCAACTGGGTCAGCCTTCCAGACTTAAAACGAAGTCGTTTATTTCAATTTTGCTTTCACATTATGTTCCGATACAATCAAGACTCCTGGACGAACCTCTTGAATAAAGTCCTGTGAATGAGCGGAATCATAGGTCCCGGGCGCCAGAATATGCGGCGGGTGGACTCCGGATTCAGAGGCGGTATATAAAACTTAACGCTGCTTCGGGAACTGCAGGGCAGACGCTGTGGGAGACATCCGGGGACAGAAGGCGTGTGGAGTCTGCCGCACCAGGCAGGATGGTTTGGGTCCTCAAACTGGGACTATTCCTGATGCATTTGGAACGCAAAGCAAAAAATCAAACTTCGCTCCCGGGCCGGCGGCCGCACCTGGCCCAGCAAGATTTCTGCCGCATTTCTTACGTTTGCGCCGAAGCTGTGAATACAGGCGAATGCAGTGCTGTGCCCGGCCTGGCGCAGGAAGGAGCGCAAGGCCGGCTCTGAGACGAAGCGCTCGCGCCCAAGCCTTTCTCTGATTGCGTTCCCGAAGTCTCCTGCCCCTCGGAACCTCGCCCCCTGGCACCCCCGACCCCCAACCTCGCAGCTGGAGAAGATGCGGAGTTTAGAAAGCTATTTCAGAAAAATAAAAGTCCCACTTCGACTTTATTGGATTAAAGCAAAATTAAATCTTGGCTATTCACACGTATGTTACAGAGGAAGAGGAAGCGTCCAGAAGAAGCTCCTTGGCGTTTTATGGAGCCACAGAGCACGACGGCATTGACAAGCATCAGAACATCAAGCAGCCTTAGATTTCACGATCACTCCGAATAGGACATACAAATACGGAAACACAGCCAGTTTCCACTGGGAAGAGTTCTTCGTGTACAAATGATATATATTCATATTTTTTAAACCAGTCACCGCTAAGGGTGAGTCCTTTCTCTGCTAACAAGTAGCCGAGGATTCAAAGTATCTTCAGCTAATTAACTTGAGCGGTGTTTTAAGAAGAGCAACACTTGCCAAATTAAAACTACCTCCCCCATCCAAATAAAAAATAAATTAATTAAAAACTTACTCCCTCTCCAAACGGAAAAAAGGTTGGGGGCGGGGAATATATTAGATTTCAGTAGGTAGAAGAATTCAGAGGGGGCTAGGGAGAAAGATTTCAGATTATGTAGTGAAATACACAGTTTCTTTAAATAATTTGCAGGGAACATGAAGTTAGGGATAAGAAACAATGACAAGGCAGTCTCTTTCTTGATTACTGCAACTGGCATGGGGAGGCGAGTTTATTTTTGGAAATAGGAGTGCGCAGAGCTAAGCGGAATTTATTTGTCCTAAGAAGGAAATGGACAAAGTTGTCCCACCGCCGGGCTTGCACCTTTTTACCCAGATACAGTTAGGGAACGTGTAGGAAGTTTCAAGTCGTGCTGCTTTCTCGCCCTCTTAATTTCAGCCTCTTTCTCACTCCCCTTCCTGCCTTCGCCTTCTCCTTGCCTCCCTTCCGGCTATGAGCCAGTCAGAGAGGAAACACGAGGAATCCAGAGAAGGTCGAGTACTTCCAGCCCCCCATCAAGTTTCCCCGCTCTAGCTTGAGGTATGCTCGGTCGCCTTTCTCCATTTGGATTAGGACTCCGTTGCTCGCGGCCTCCCGTGTCACGTCCTGGTCACCAGCGAAGGCTGAAATCACCGGCCACCCGTTTAGCATGAGGCTTACCTGAGAAAGAGAAAGGCCCGCTTCAGAGGCGCAACCTAGGTAGGAACCGAAGCTGCGGTGGAGCGAACCTCCCCGCACTCGTCTAACATCCGGTAAGGCCTGGAAGCACGGAGGGGTCGGGGAACGGAAGGAGGAAAGGGAGCTTCGCAGCTTACTGCTGAGGCTTCAGTGGGGCGAAAGACCTAACACCTGGGTGAGAATAAGGGTCTGTTCCCAAAACGGGAACAGACCCTTATTCCGGATTCTCAAATGAGCGCTCCAAGCGAATCTCGACTGTGCTCTGTGATCCAATTTAATAAACCTGTGAGTTGGCTCTAGTGCCCTGAGACCTTTGACCTCTCTCCCGTTTCCCCTCAGCCTCAAAAAACAAACAACAAACAAAAACACCCAGCAACTCGGGGTCCCTCCAGCGCTCCCGGAAAAACAAAAATGAACAAACAAAAAGCCCCTGATCCCTCCTGGTCCCAGTTATCAGGACACAGTGGAGAAGACGCTGTGATTTTCTGATTAGAAATTTCGCTCCCAGCGGCACTTCGTATTTCCTCTCCAAACCACTGGCTCAATTCCCGCCCCCATCCAGCCGCGCCCGCCACTGCCTGGTTTTGCCCTTGCGGTGGCAGCGTCAGCCAAGGGCCCGCGCCCTCTCCCCAGCTGTGTGTCCCGCTTCTCTCAGCGCCCAAGGGAAACCTGGACACCTTTAGGTACCTGGAGAGCAGACGAGTGCTTGCTGGGACAAGGCTGGAGCCGGGAGAGAGTGGCACTAACGCCCCCTCCCTCCCTCTTCTCTCCACCCCTCACCCTCCAGGGCCAAATGCGGCTAGCTCAAAAACCCAGAATCAGCATGGGGTGGGAATTGGGGGCAAGTCGGGGAAAACAGGTGCCCTGTCCGTGGTGCTGAAGACAAGAACACAAGCAGCCTCCTAGGCTTCCGAGCTGGGGCTAGGGTTGGGGGTACTGTAGACAGTACTTCCCGAAGAGTCCGGGAAGGTTCCCCAAGTGGCAGCTGTATGGAGCGCTAACAACAACGGTTACAAGGAAGTCCCTGCAATCCAGGAACCCTTCGGAGGAGCCCACAAGGCGGAGGCAGAAAATTCTGCCTCTGGGGGTTATGGGACTGGATCCCAAGAGCCAGAGACAGGGAAAGCAGAGGGCAGCTGAAGCCGCAGAACTGAGAGGCCCCACTATTTGTCCCTCCAAGCAGCCCGAAGCACATGCAGCCGCCACTTCTGCCTCCCACCTCCGGACAGCCCGAGCACCCCTGAGGCCAGTTACCCCCTACGGGGCCAGGGCCCAGCCCGAGGCAGCAGCTGACCTGGATGGTCTGTCTGTTGTAGACTTTTACCACGTGGAAGTTAAAACTGTAGATCCCTTTGCGCGGGGCGATGAAAGTGCTGCGTTCTGAATCAAAGTTGTTCCCAATGTTCACTAGTACCTACAACGAGACGGGAACGAAGGGGAGCGGGCAGGAATCGGTCCCGGACTGTCGTACGCGCGCCAATGCAGAGCCCTTGGAGAGGACCGGGCATCGGTCTTCCATCCACCCTCCCTAACCAGCCCAATCTGCACGCCGCGGGAGGACGGAGCACTCACCTGGTCGAAGTAGATGATCATGGTGCGATTACTCATCTCGGACGGCTCGTGGTTGGTGCTTCTGATGGCAGAGAAAGCCACCTTGGCGCTACCGGAGCGCACAGAGATGCCCAGGGCTGTGCCCGTGGGGTCCGACGTGGGGTTGGAGTCGCACACCACCAGGCACTTGCCCTCCAGCACGATGGGCTCCGTCTCATTCTGCCCGCGGGCCGGGCCCGCCAGCCACGCAGCCCCCAGCAGCAGCAGCTCCACGACGCCCAGCATCGCGCCGCCGGCGCCCACCCCGCCCCCCACCCCCAGGGCTGCTTGCGCCAGCCGCCCCCCGCCCCAGTCCCGCTCCGAAGCCCCCTCGTCGGCTCCGTGCGCAGCTCCGCCGCCGCCGCTCTGGACGCTACTGCTCTTCCCCGCACTCCGGGACGAGCGTCCCCTTCGCGCTACGTTCCCGGAGCCCCGCCCGGGCCTCAGGGGTGCCGCGGCTGGCCAGCCGCACTTGGATGCATAGCCGCCGCTGCTCGGTCCCGCTGCTGCCGCCGCCTCCTGCCCGCACCCTCCGCTGCCGCCGCCACCACCGCTCTGAATTATTGATGCAGCCGGCGCCGCAGCCGGAGCGGGCGGAGAGCGCGCGCTGGGCACAAAGGCGCGGACCGCGGCCTGGCCCCGCCCCCGCCGCCTCCCGGCCCGCCTCCCACCGAGGCCCCGCCCTTGCCCCGGTGGTGGCCACGCCCCGCAGCCAATCCTGACGCCCCGCGCTCCCCACCGAGCCAATAGCGGCGCTGTCCGCGCGCGGCCACCTGACCCCAGGCGCCGTTGTTATTAGGCGCAGCGAAGCGGGCGGCGCGCGGCAGCTGGGTTGGGCTCTGGCCGGGAGTCGACGAAGGGAGCGCGGGTGGGGAGCGCGGGCGCGCGCCCGCGTCCGCGCCCGGAGTGTCCGCCGCGGCCGCTCGCTTTCTAGCCTCCCGCCTGGCGCCTCGATCCTGTTCCGCCCCCTCGGCCCTTTCGCCCGCCCCCGTGGTCGGCCCTCAGGTAGGAGGCGGCGCGCGCCGGGGTCGGGAGTGGAATCGCTGAGGGCTGCGAGGCTCCCGCCTGCGTGTGGGCGCGCCCGGTGGGAGAGGAGCGCCTCCCAGCGGGCGCGGGCGCGAGAGCAGCCGGCGCGCGGGGCGAGCCTAGCGCAGGGTCGCGCCTAGCGCAGGGTCGCGGCGGCCGGGCTGCTGGGCGCGTGCGCGCGCGGCGAGGCGGGGCCTGCGCGGCTCCGGGTGGGCGCACGTGGTGCCCGGGAGCTGTTGGCCTGGCATTCGCCGCGGGGACTCGGTGCGGAGCTGGAGCGCCAGGCGTCTCCGATCCCCCTGCCCCAGCCGGCGGCCGCGACGGTGGAGCTTGGCCTCTCACTCTCTTCCGCCTCCCGCAGCGACTGCCCCGCGGGCCGCGGGGGTCAGATCCAGCGGTCATTCATTCATTTCTTCATTTCTTCACTTATTCAGGAGAGATCACTGAACCGGTACGGAGTACCGGGTAGTGAGCTGGGCGCTGAGGACGCGGGCCTGAGCAAAAGCAGCCGAGGCTAGCCTTAGTGTCCCTTAAAATCCAGCGTGCGGGGCGGTAACAAGTACTGCTTTTCTGTTTTGCACTTAAAATTTACATTTTGCATTTATACTTTTTATTTGCTGTGCACCCTTAAGGCGTGCTTTATGTGCACGTACCTGCACAGCCTTTCCTTGAGTGGAGACACCAGATCCTGAGATTTTTTATGGGCAATTTTTCGATTTTTACCCTAAGTGGATTTTCGTCCCACGCATGGACTTGGAACTACACACACCTAGTCAAAAACGTGAAAGTCAAAATGCAGCTTCGCCAAGTTTCGGGGAGAGTGGAGAGCTGCGGAGATGGGGAGAGGAAGGGCGCGCTCCAGGCGTTCCAGCCCGGGTGTGGGAGAGGTAGCCCTGAAGGGTGAACGCGGGCGGGTAACCTGGCAGCGGGAGGGGGGGCGGACCTGTCTGTCAAGTCCAAAGCAGAAGCGCGTCTCGGGACCCCAGGCTGAGGCCGGCTGGAACGCTGCCCACCGGCTCTAGGCGCTAGGGTGCCCGCCGGGCGACCTTGAACCTGGCGTGCTCAGCGAAGCCAGCACAGCCTCGGGAGCTGTAGAGACGCGAGACACAAACAGAGCGCTCCTGCCCTCGGCCTAGGGGCTCGCCTCTGGCCCGGATGGCCATTTCCAGGGTACGCTCTCCCCCAGCTTTGGGATCGCCAGCAGCCACGTCTATGCTTCTTGATCTCTCTCTCTTTTTTTTTTTTTTTTTTTTTTTTTGAGACTTCATTGATAGCTGTTTAGGGAATTATGGAGGAAATCTCTCCTCCGACCCCTGCCTCCGTTGTGAGCCCTGCCCGGTCGCAGGATGGGCCAGGAGGAAAGGAAGGGTGGGGAAGAAGCAGCAATTTTACTTTACTTTAAATTAAAATGACACAAAAATATTTTTTCAACCCAGATTTTTCTGAGACATCCTCAGAAAGCGTTGCCAGCTGTGATTACACCTAATGTGAGAGCATGAACTAATTTAAGAGGTGAGAGCTGAATAATGAGACTGCATCCTGGGTATCGGCCAAGACTGGCAGCTCTGGCCGCGCACTGAAGGGGACCGTGAGGGACACCCTTGTAGAACCAGCCCCTGGCTCCCTGAGGTCTTCTCAGTGCCCTGGTGCTGCGTTGTCCATCACTCCAAGGTATTTACTGGGTGCCTCCTGAATGCTGGGTTGCAATCAAGAGCAAGAGATGGAGAGATGGGGGCAGTGAAAGAACCTGTTTTCAGGAGCTCACAAACAGGGTTTCAATTACCTCTGGGAGGTGGTGGCCAACCTCTTCCTCTTCTTTTCATGCTGAGGCTCTGGTGGGCAATGCCCAAGCCTGAACTGCCATCTCTATGCCAGTGGTTACCCATCTCGTATTTTCAGTCTTAGCCTCTCTGGTTCAGACTTGACATTCTAAGGGCCCTGTTTCACTGACTCACAGTCTCCTCCCTCCCTGCCTTGCAAACTCAGCCCCTTCCTTTTTCCCTGTCCCACTGACAACAGCTGCACTCACGCAGAGGTGAAAACGCTAAAGAACTCCATGTCTAACCTAACTCCCTCTCTGTGTCCTGTTGCTTGAGCCATTCTCATTAAGCTGCCTGTTCAGAGTTCATCATCTCCTAATTTTTCATCCAGGAATTGGTGAGGTATCACCTCCTGGCTCTCCCATACACTGTGTATTCTTTCATTTGATGATATCTGTTGAGTGCCTTGAGTAGCTTCCACTTCCCTCCTATAAAAATGAGATTTCACATTGATAACTCCCTTTGCTTTCCCTGTCCCTTGTCCACATAGTATGTGTTCAAAATAATGAATGTTAATTTAATGTTACTAGATCTACGCTTTTCTGAATTGTGAGGATTAAATGAAATCCTGTATATAGGAAGGAAAAACCATTAGAAACCTCAAAAGCAGTCATGTTCGTTTTTGCTATTGTCACATTGTTAGAGTCTGGATTCTTTTAGCTAGCTGCAAGTGACAAAACCAACTCAAACTGGCTTAAGGACTTTATTTGGTTGATGCAAAAAGCCTCAAGTTAGGTCCTGCCATTTAAGGTAGGGCTGGATCTGTCAATCAAGGTTACCAGGATCAGTTTCACAGTTGTGGCTTCATTTTCAGACAAGTTGTTTTCATATGACAGCCTCGTAGAATGTACTACCAGCTTAGTCCTAGCAAGAAAAAAGAATACGTATTCTTCAATATTTGCAGAAGAAGTCCCAGGTCTGTTCTTATGAGGGTGGTTTAAGTTGTTTGCTCTTCTCTGAACGTGGAGAAGAGACGATTTAGATGACCGAGGTTGGATTCAGGTGCATCCCCTGGAATGGGGTTTGGCATTAGCTTCACATGGTCTAGAATAAAGGGGTTCTCCAAAGGAAAATTAGGGGAGGGATGCTGAGCAAGCAGAACCAACAGATGTCTCCTTTAGTCCTTCCCAAAGGGTGAGCTGCAATGCAATGCATTGCAGACTATCAGAATGGTGATGAAGACAGATACAGTAGTCAAGACAATAGATGTGTGTTTGTCATGGTTTTTTTCGGTCTTCAAGACCGCAGCTAAACATCACTATGATGTTACTTGAGGTTTAGCTTTGAAGTGTAAATGTACCTCAAACAGCAGAGCCAGATAAATATAAATAAATAATTGTAACAGTCTATTCTAAAAGATTTCTTTGGTAATATTCTGTTGGAATTGATTTCTATCTCTTCATTTTTTAGGTTCCTGGTAAGGTGAAAATTTTATTTCTTTGTGGAAATGTACCTAAAATTTCTCATTATTCACCAATTAATGAAAAACAAATGAAAATTTGAGAGAGAGATTCTGAAGAATAAAAGGGTCAAGTTGGGTCATTTCTAATGTAAGACTATAAGGTTTAACTTGCTAAGGCTTTTGAGGGGTTGAATTATTGTCAAATAATTATAGAACCACTTCTCTGAGGCTTTTAAAGTGATGTGTTACAGAGATTTAGGGAACTGTAAGATTGCAGATAAAGAATTTATACTGTTAGTTTTATACTTTACCTGCTGCTTTAAATGTGGCCTCCTATTTTGAAGTCAAAGGTGTATTTTCTCTCACTGCGTTCTAAATTTCCTACCACAGTGCATTTTGAGAAATGAACATAACAGCAGTCTTGATAGATGCCATATTCGTGGCAACTCTGTCCACCCCCCCACTCTCCACACCACACCCTGGAAAAAACCAACCCTCTATTGTTGGAATGAGAGAACATTTCCAGGAAAAGGGAACCATTTTCTCACAGGATATAGAACAAATTTATTCTTTTATTAATTCAAAATGGATTTTCTAATGTTTATACATATCAAACAGGATTTCATCTCTTTTAGTCTTGTTTCAAAAGCCCAGACAGTACCATTCCCTAGTATTTAGTCCATTTGCTCATAAAGCAGAAGAGAAAGGCTACTTTGTTCTGAAGAGTGTTAGATTTAGGATTTCAAGGTTCAAGGTTATTTCAAATTAATGCCTAAACTAGACTATAAAATGCAGGAATGATTCTAAGTTGTCCAAAGATGAGATAGTATTTTAACTTTCACCAAAAACTTTATCTTCTGGGTATATCTTTTTTTTTTTTTTTTGCCTGTTCAAATTCATTTTAAATACAATATTTTTGCTGTTTAGTTTTAAAAGTTACATTTCAAAATAGTTTGCAATTGAACAATTTTATAAGATGTAGGAAAACACAGTTTTACTTTTTAATGAAGGACAGGTCTGTTGATAACATCTTGATTCTTAAATTTTTTTTATCTTATAGAAATGAAACAATATATTTAAAGTGTCTTCAGCTCTTCTGTTATTACCAAATTATGCATTTTCTTAGCCCATGTTCAGGAGAGACTATATATATTCTAAATTAAGAGCTACTGGCACCATTTTTAAAACAAGGCCTTGAATCTGCTGTGGTATGTGCTGGTAGAAATTTTGTATGAAGCTGTTATTGAAGTAGATGCCATTAAGGTCAAAGAAAAAAGAAAAAAAAAACAGAAAATAATGTAATCCTACATAGCTGCTCTTGAGAGAAGACCACATAGGTAACATC